CGGGCATCTGCTGCGACGGCTGCGACGAATCCTCGGAGTCGGACATGGAAACCTTGCCCTCGGGCTGGGCTTGCATTCCGGCCTCAGCACGGATCTTTTTTCTCAGTTCACAAAGTCACATGTACTTTGAACCCGCTTATGCTTTGTATGTGATGCATAGCTTCAAGGTGCGACTGAGTCGCATCAGGCTGCTGCGTCTCCGACTCTGCATCAGAGTCAGTAAAGATCCTTGTGCGATGTATGGGGACGGGCAGGGACATGTCCTGGGCATGCCGTTCGTTCCGAATGCATGCTCCAATAGCATAAACTTGGACGCACAGCCCATGTAGCTAGCCGATTCAAGTATGCAATGCAAGATTCTGGTGCGTCGCCCCGCGTGCGCCGACAAGCTGGTGCAAGAACGGAGGTTTCGGGGCCAAGACACAGGCCGTCCACATTCGGAGCCTCGGAGATTAGATGAGCTTGCTTTGCTTTGCTTGCTGTTCCGAGTCGCCCAACTGTCGGTAATCTTCGCGGCACAGTCAGACTGATACACGTTTCATACCCACATACAGGCGTATAAGCAAGCACATATACATACATACATCTGTGCATTGGCATAGATACGTGCGCGCACTGTACAGCACCAAACTAGCGTGTTGATGCACGTGTTACCACAAGCGTTTGAGTGATGTACATACGCAGATGAGCATTTGTTTATGTATACACAAATGTCTGTGTATCTATATATGCATGTGTATGTATATACATATATATATATATATATGTACATACACACAGGTCCGCATCTGCATGTGTATATATGTTTATACACGCACACACACACACACACACTTAGACATCCATCGCGCAGCCACTAATCAATCTGGTTATCAAGCACAGCTTGATGTATCTCGAAAGCATGAAGCTTCCAGGGGGTCCGGTACCTATCTGGCCTCAAGGCTCATCTTCACTTGATCTCTGACTTTTCCACTGTACAAGGCAAAATTTCCCAGACATGCACATGAAACTGCACTGCACTCCTACTCGCAATCAACAGTTGTGTGGTCACAAGCTGCACGAAAGTGCCCATGCCGACCACTGCAGGTACGTTTACCTGTCTCAATATCACGGAGCTTCGTTGGCAGAGGCCGTGAAATGAGACCCTCTGCCCCCTGCAATTTTCTGTAATTCAGCACAACTGTCCAACGTGTTTCAAAAACGGTTCCTCTTGGTAACAGAGGTCCACACACACACACACACACTTGTTCCAGTTCACCCTGTCTACATCGGCTACGGCACGACGGGACAAGGTCGTCCAACGGCCGCAGCAAGAGAATCGGCTGGTCAGACAATGAAGTCCTCGGAAGGGTGTTCTTGTCGTACTTCAGGACAGCACGGGAGTTTGACAAACCGAAAACCATTGACACAGGCTTTTGCAACATTTCCTTAAGATGCTGGAAAAAGGGATCCAACAGCAAAGGAAAGAGCTGGATGGAAGATTCGGCCGCACTTCGAAGTAGAGACTGAAGGTTCGCCCATCTGGTTCATGCCACGCTGCTGCTGGAGCCATCGCCACGTGGGCAGCGCATAGCCGCACAAGTTGATCGATACCTCCTGTCATGTTGATGCTACATGCCGGTCAGGGTGTTGGGCCGCTTGGAAAAGCAGGAGCCTGTTGGACACGGGCAAAGGAGCACCGCCGCTAGTGCTACTATGTGCTGCTGCTGCAACTGCTCATCGAACACCACTCTGGCATTGCTCTTTCTGGTACAGAGAGCCTTTCATCTTAGACTGGACTCCACTTTGCTCTTGTCCGATGTCGGATTTGCGAAGTAGGGAAGAAGGGTTTCGCCAGCCTATATTCAGATTCAACTCAACTCCATGCAAAACATGCTCTCAAGCAGAAGCATTTTCGTGAGTTTAGACAGGCGTTGGTGCAGAACTTGAGGGTGCTACGCTTTAGCGTGTTGCTCGATCTTGCGGTGGTGTCCCATCGGTGTTGGCTGTGCGAAACCCCTCCAGTTCTTGCTGTCCATGGATTCCTTCCATGGCTTCGTCCTTATCCTCGCCCTCCTGTCCTTGCATCCTCGGCTGTGGCACAGACGTGGGAAAGGCAGGGGGAGGCTTTGAGCCTGGAGGAAGCCAAAGAAAAGGCTGTTTCGTGCGAGAGGATGAAGGCAGATGTTGCGACCGCAACTCCGACTATACGAGGAGGTCTCCTGGCCGTAGCCGCTGAACGTCGACGCGCGCTCCACGAAGAACAGTGCCCCCTTCTTCCTTAGCACATACATTCGTTGCAAGCCCTTTGACCCCCGAGATTTCGGTCTCATTTCCGCAGCATAACCTCTGGATTTGCCCGAAACCAAGAACTACAAGTACCATGCATTTAGTTTGGGGTCGAGGTGTCCACCGGGCATCATTGCAACCGCAGCTCCCTGAGATTCCTGGAGCAGCCTAGGCCTGCATCAATTAAGCTAGGCTGCTCTTTCGGTGAGCGAAGTTCAACGGCCCAGGCAGTACGCATCGTTGGCCTTGCAAAGTTCAGAGACGGACTGTTCCAGGAAGCGGGGTCTCCAAAAAGAGGGCCTTCGGCCTGTCAAGTGCATCTGATGCCCCAGGACCTCTTTACCAAGACCCGGGCCAATCAGTGCCGGGCAGCACGTGAGCCTTGAAGCACCTGCGGACCAAAGCGATGCTGCTGCGTGAAGAAAGCTCCCTGACCCACCAGCTCCAGTTCTTGACCCTACAGTACGACTTGAAATCCCTTAGAACTTAAGGTTTCTGTAAGAGCCGCAGCACAGGAGGTGCTCTGAGACGCCACGTTGCTTCGCCACCTGGAGAATTTGTATGCATGGATGTTTGCGAACATTCGTCACTCGTCCAGAAAACTCAACCCAACGTTTCCTCGCAAATCCGGGCCGCAACAGCATCCCTCCACAGAACCCTGCAGGCCTTGCCCGGCCCAACCTGTGTCAGCGAGGTCAGCCTTGCCTTCTGGAAACTCAGCATAGTGTAGCTGTTGCTCTAATCCTTTGTTGCGAAGTCCGGGTAAATGCTACGATTCAGAAGTGTAGTGAAAAAGCGGCAGCGGCAGCAGCAGGAGCAGGAGCAGGAGCAGGAGCAGGAGCAGGAGCAGGAGCAGGAGCAGTAGGAGTAGTAGTAGGAGTAGTAGTAGTAGTAGTAGTAGTAGTAGTAGTAGTAGTAGTAGTAGTAGTAGTAGTAGTAGTAGTAGTAGTAGTAGTAGTAGTAGAAGTTGTTGTTGTACTAGTAGTAGTAGTAGTAGTAGTAGTAGTAGTAGTAGTAGTAGTAGTAGTAGTAGTAGTAGTAGTAGTAGTAGTACTAGTAGCAGTAGCAGTAGTAGCAGTAGCAGTAGCAGTAGCAGTCGCAGTGGCAGTGGCAGTGGTAGTGTACGGTAGTAGTAGTAGTAGTGGTGGTAGTAGTAGTAGTAGTAGTTAGCAGCGCAGTGTTCGTCGTCGTCGTCGTCGGTCGTCAGTGTCGTTGTCGACGTCGTAGTCGTCGTCCTTGCCCTTGCCCTTCCCCTTGCCCTTGGCCCTTGCCCCTTGCCCCTTGCCTGTTGCCCCTTGCCTGTTGCCTCTTGCCCTTACGCTTGCGCTTGCGCTTGCTGTTGCCCTTGCTCTAGTTCTTGTTCTACTTCCTCTATTTGTAGTTGTTGCTGCTGCTACTTTCGTTGCCTCTGTGAGACTTGCTTGGCCTAGCGCTGCAGCACAGCGCCATACGGGAAAAGGTCGAAACTGCGTTTGCAAGCTCCTAGAGCCCCGTGCCTCAGAGGGGCTGGTTCGCCGGTGTCGCGAAGCCCGCGCAAGGGCTCGGGATTCTGCAAGGACCAGTGTGGCGAGACCTGGGCTGGGAGCATGCGGCCGCTCTAGGCCGAAAGAGCCACAGCTCCTCCCTACAAACACCCTACGTACATTGGCACCGGGATGCTAGAGTAATAGCTTCCTGCGCAGGTGAAGCGAGATGGCAATGGCTCGCAGCCAGGATCGGCGCTGGGATCGTCCAAGCGGTGTAGCACACCTCGTAGTCCGTGGTCGAAAAGGTATTAAGCGCTTCGCTAAAACGGATCAGTCGAGTTTGTGCTTGAGGCTGAAACTCTCCGATTCGACCGCATGTTGAAGGAACATCTTCATTTGCGAAGCCACCAACGTCATTCTGAAACCGAAGCTATTTGCTAGGGGACACCTTCCTGGCAAACTCTGGTGTCAGGCATGCATTAAGTGTTGCAACTTGCAAGGAAACGTTTGTACAGCTACTCACTCCAATAAAACTTCCCGATTTGAAGCTATCTTGCACCGTGGTCGCATGCCCAGAAGGACAGCGCGGCTTCCCTGGCTGGCGGAACCCTCTTCCGCTTTTTTGCCATTAACGAAGCCACATGGAATTGCTATGGGCATTCACAGCTGTTACTCCGCTTGCGCTTCTTGCGCTTTGGTCTAGCCTCCGCTTGTCAACTCTACTAGGGCAATGCGGGCTGCAGTTTCGAACTTCGAAAGAAGATGGTGATGTCACTTCTTCAACTAATTAACTAATTACCCACTGGCCGGTGCTCCAGTCTTATCACCGTGGGGGTCCAAGTCGCCGTCTTGAAACATTGTACAAACCTGGCCAAACCATGGTCTACCGAAAGTCTGAGAGACCATGGTGCGACATCTCTTGGACTTGGACCCCCCGGTCATGCTGGGCACAACTCGGGCCAAGGATGCTGCGGCATGGAGCGCGTCACCTTGTGCAAGTGGACAGTTCCAACCAGTGGCCAGCAGCAAATCCGAAAGCTCATGACCAGGAGTGCATGTGCCGAACCTTGTCGCTTACCCTTGCCACCATGCACTCATGCACGCGTGCAGCCTTCTTGCTTGCAGCAGCTACTCCCCCACGACGCCACATGGCAGGAATGCCCACACCAATGCTCGCAAGCCGTGATGGAACTTGAAATGGAAGAAGTTAGCAGCTAGCAGCATACGCCGTAAGGCTGAGATGGCAGGCGAATACCGTTAACTGGCCTGGATGCCCATGTTCTGCAAAGCACTGCGGAACCACGCCTGGTGATCTCAAGACATGCTCAAGCGAGTTACGCCGTTGTCACGACATGGTGTTGATGTCGGGTTGGCACAACACATTGCAAACCCGCCTGGTCATCGCCGGCAATGTCAACCTACGGCAAGCCGAGCAGAAAAAACGTCCACTGGCGTCCTCGGCATCTGTGCTTATGCCCTCGGTTTAACCCTCGCGCCTCTGCCAACAATGCTTCACAAAGCGGTCTGAGGGATTGCAGACGGCGCTCCTTGACTTCCCGAAACGCACAGAAGCAGCACTCCTTCATCTCCCGGCAAGAGCATGGCAAGAACCATCCGAGGCCAAAGAGCTGCCGCCTCTTCTCGGCTCGCAGCTCCCTTTCTGAGGCGGCTGCCGACTCGAGGTCCACATTGAGACCGGACTTCTGCGGCCTCGGGGCCCGGCCCGGCCCCAGCTCCGGGCTAAAATGTCAGAAACAGGTGTGGTAACCTAAATTGTTCACGTGCGAGAGAAGAGCAAACCAATCCTCAGATGATCCGCTTCTCCTCTTTCTGAAGCCTTCGCTGCCGACAAGGAGCCCTTCTTTCAAACTGCTCTCGGCTTTCCTGCGACTTGGGATACAGAGGGTAGACTTGCTGGCATCTCACGAAACATGGATTAGCCCAATCGTTCAGATTGCAGCTGGCCAGGAAAAGGCTGTAAGGATGTCTGACTTGTTGACGTGATTGTGCATGTACAGGCAAATGTCACGCAACTTGACGAAACCTTAAGCTGCACCAAGCCCTTCACCACACTTAAACTGCCATAACCCAGCGTCTAGCACAAACAAACCCTTTACTTGCCGCTTCGCGGAACAGTCAGCAACAGCAGCAACTGACAGCACACCCCGTTTGCAGGGCTCACACGCAAACCGGTCATGACTTTCTGGCCACGTGCTTGTCAACGACTGTGCCAAACACCAGAGCTGTGCTCGGTAACTATCCGGATAGGTCGAAGTTGAGTATGCAGGTTTCACGGTGGTCTGGTCACAGTTTGAGATGATGATATTCGCATGTTGGTCGAGACACCACGCCTCGAACATGATGTTGCAAACACATTCGTCACAACACGCAGTTGCCCCAAGACATGAGAAAGAGTGAAAGCCAGCCGGCCATAGATGGATGGTTTGGAGGCCGGTTGAAGTGTGCCGAGGGCTTTGTCATAATCGGGAGGGAACCTTGGCAAATTTGCTTTCCGTGCGAACGTTTTGCCAGGGGCAATGTCTCTACAAGATGCGAAAGGCTCGGCAAGAGCAGTGAGTCGCACCGGTAAGGCCGCTACGGGCAACAGAGTTGGAGAAACCGATGTTCAGCAACAACATGCACATGAAGAAGTGGCAGAGACGCAAACAAAGTTCGAGCGCTTACAGTATTCAGCTCTTTTGCCACATGCTTAAACGATGCCGGCACTGCCCATCTTAGGCTTGCCGGTGCAGCCTCCGAACACTCCTGGGTTCTGCAGGCTGTAGATATCTGCAGGCCCTCGTGCAGATGACGCGACTTTGCGCGTCCGAGACTACGCCGGCGACATTCCATCCATCCATCCATCCATCCACCCACCCACCCACCCACCCACCCACCCACCCATCCATCCATCCCTCCACGCATCCACCCATGCTTCTATCCATCCATGTACCACAGACATTCATGCATGCATATATATATATATATGTGTACATACATATGTACATACATACCTACATACATACATACATACACACACCTGTCTACAGATGTCCATTGCCTTCCGATGGGATAGATTGGATCCAAACAACGCTTACTGTGGCATCATCAGGTCTGGGTAGCCGTGCCGTCACCTTGGCTTCCAAAGGTGGAATAAAGGTCGGACTCCGCTCCGGCACGATCAGTGGAGATTCTGCATGCTGGCTGGGCCAGCCGCCCGTTGCCAGGCAAAATGTCGGTGGCATCTTCCTCACGTCGGAAAGTGTTTCTAAGGTGAGTGTGCTGACCCTTGGCAAGGCTGTATCATCGCATCGTCGAGACAGGAATGGAGGCGCAGCTACCTCTGATATCACAACCAGATGTTCGGACGTGGCCTGTCGGGGAGCTTTTTTGAAGCGCTGGTCCAGCTGCTGGCGCAGCTGGATCTGCCGAGAATCATCATGCTTCACACAAACACTTGCAAAACAATCACTGCAATAACTAACTTGAAATGTCAATGAATGCCACAGGTATCGACCAAAATAGCAAACCGGAGCTGTTTCAACATGTCTGCACAAATTCTTACAGTAAGTGGGCTGCTGGAACAATGGAACCCTGGCCTTCAACAAAAGAAGTCGAGAAACAAACGCATTTCCAAGCCCGAGTCCAATATGGCTATGGCACGCGCGCATGTTCGCAGAACGAGTAGAGCACGTAGGACGTAGGGCACTTCTCTAGCACAAGGTCGAGTAGACTCCAGGAAACGGCTAGCATCGAACGCAGTACGAAAGGAACCCGTCAGAGGAGGAGGAGCGCGACAACACGAACTTCCCGCCTGAGTGTCTACAGTAGTAAATGCCCCGGATCGCAAGGAAACGAGCGATGGTCTGTTCTCGGTGAAGTGGAGACTTCGACAGCTAGCAGTTGTGCTGTCAGTCATGTCAGGCCCAGCACTTCAATGACCCCAATATGCTACGCCTCAGACACTCGCCGGAGCTGATTGCCGAGGTCCGGCAGGCACTGCCTTGGCAACGCAGAGTCGAAGGCTCCTCGGCTGCGATTGGGGCCACGACCACAGCGGCTGCGCCCCAGGTGCGTCGTTCGAAGGTGGCCCCACTGCCTCGGCTAACGCCCAGCTGCAGGTGAGCTCGTTGCGCGCTACCAAGGATCCAAGCCGAAGGAAAGATGAAAGAAGCCTTCTTAAATCCAGGCACATCCGCGGCGAGGCCCCAGACGAGCCCCTCCGGACCTCAGCGCTAAGGACGTGGAGAACAGGGCCGAGAGCCATGAACGCCCAAAGCAAGCGCAACACGTGGAAGCAGGGCACGAAAACACCAGTAAAATGGCAGTTTTCTGTATGTCTGACTCAGTTTGGCACGTTGCCAACATGCACCCTGAGCTTGAGGCCTAGCGTTTGGGCCTCGGCGAGCTTCAAGACTTCCCCTGGGCTGCTAGTGCACAACAAACCGGTTCGTTGTCGCCGGCACGGAGCTGGGACAATAGCGCGCTGACAGTGGGCCCATCCACGCAGCATCCGGTCCTGAAGAACCGCTGGGCTCCACCTGACGTGTCAGATACCCATGAAACATATACCATGAAGGGGCAAAGAGCCCCTGCCCTCTTTCAGCCTGCACCGGTGATGTGCTGCTTAATTGCCGTCATGGTTGCGTGGTCAGAGGCTCAGCTTACGCAGGGCTGGAGTTGAGTGAAACGACTGTGGAATCAGGAACGTACTGCGAAGGTCACGGAGTTCTCCCCGCAGCATAGAGCACAAACAACCTTGGGCACCCCACCCACAGGGTTCTGTGGCCTTGCTCGACAGCAGCTGCCTGGCAAAGCAGAAGCTACCTAGTTCCGCGGCACCCGTGGCCACGACGACGTAATTCTCCGCTGTCACGTTATAGGACCGGTTCAGTGTCAAGTTGAACTCCCAGCGCAGACTAGACCGGCATATTAATCTGCTATTAGTGAAACAGCACCAGATAGCGTGCACCCCCCCGTCAGCACATTTCATTGTCTGTTGCATTCACAATTGACATTAGGCAACATGCTGAAACCTCTTCCAAAAGCCGAATCTTCTCCTCTATCCCGAATGAGTAGCAGTACGGCTCTCGGTTTAGAGTGTCCAGGGGTCCAGGAGTTGATGAAACTCTGTGCATTTGTATTCGAGAAGCGTCCTCTCGTGGTGCCTGTGTCGCGTGCCCGCCGGACAAGGCGGGGAAGCGTTTTTGGCGGGGAGTCTCGTATATCTGCCGTCCCTTTGCTTCTCGAAGCACGCGAGCGCGTCTGCTTTCGGGTTCGTGACTCCTACCAGGTTTTTCTCTCCGGCCTCAGATCCGCCTTGTCCATGGCCCGCTTCCTCGAGCACCGCCTGAGAATTACGGGGAGAAGGTCTGCACTTTCGGACACAACGTGTGATCGCTTGAACAAGCCACGAGGATCACCATGCTACAATGCCTGCACACTTGCGCAGTTGCAACAGAGAGCGCTGGGCAACGACCGAGAAGGAAGGAAGCGAGAAGTAGCAACGAGCCCCCCAGACGCCGGTAGGAGGCCAGCCGCCCCCCAGGAGTGCCAACACCCTAAAGTAAGGCTCGAGTCCACTCCAGCTGGGTTTAGTACAGTAGCAGTTCTGCTCGGGTGAAGTGTTCCTGCTGCGCACACACACACACACACAACAGCCCACAGGGGGATGTATCCCATCAACCATCGGAGCATTGGCAAATCTGCAGCTTCCAGGAAACGTTGGAACCAATTCGAAGCCGATGGTAAACCGTGCTGCGCAGTGCTGCCTTGGCCTTGGCTTCATCTCTCTCTTTCCCCTTGCCCTGCTCGGTAGCCTGTGCCAGGCGGCATCGAGGCTTGGACCAAGGCGGTGCCGATAGTGCGTACAGTATAGAATAATATGGTAAAACAAGCATACGATATAGCAAACGTATAGTAGACTATGGTATAGTATAGTAAAATATGCGATTATACCCTTCGTGCTTGGGTAGAAGACTCTGCGGAATCGAAGCGGCAGTCTTCGTGATTCAACTTACCCAGAGTCGATCTGCACCTGGCACAGCTGTCGGAACTGATGGTGTCCCTGCGAATCTTCACATCAAGACGTCAACTATTGACATGCCTCAAGCCAGAGGGTGAAAGATAGATTGCAATTTTGAGTTTGGACTTGTAGCATGCTACTGAACCTGCTATTGATTCTGGAGCCAACTACGTAATCTACCTTCAAACCAAGAAACTACACCGAAAAAGGTTTGAATAGAAAGCTGTGAGGCTTGAGTCCCTCCAAAATCGACACTCTACCAGTCGGTTAATTCCTACAGCCCAGGCATTTAGCCAATAGCAAGAGTGCTAGGTTGAAACGTCCCCACACGCACACACACAGACAAACAGTGTACAGCCGATGTCATCAGAGAAGTGAATGCACCTCAACTTGCAGAAAATGTGCAAACTGATGCCACCTTGGCTTCCGCTCTCTCCCTCACCATGCCCTTCTCGGCAGCCTGAAACAGGGCGCAGCAACAGTCCGGAGCTCAATTCCAGGCATATCTGTTGGACAGCACTTTGTTTGCGTGATAGCAGGCCATATACATGGTGTCCCTGCAACTTCACAAGCCAACGTCCCACGATCTGGGCCCGACATGGCTCCAGCCACAACGAGAGCGAAGGATTAACCGGAGTCTCGGGATTCGGCTTATCACGGGGTCAACTTTTCAACCAACTAACATCAACTAACCTTGAGGCCCAGACAACGCGCCAAGAATAAGCAAGTACATTATTAAAAGGCTCAGGACCGACCGTCCCACATAACATCAATCATCAATCGGCTACTGCAGCCCTGGCATGGAAGTAGCAAGAAGACTACAAGGTAGGATGAAGAGTCGGTGCGTCACAAACGGGCT